GACGTAGGTGTTCCAGTAAATGTCGGAGACTATTGACAGCGTAGCCGTTCAACACGCAAGGGACGACTACATGCAGCATTTTTCCGTATGTCTTTTCGGAGGAGCTTGTAAGGGTGTATGAGGCTGACGGGAGCTCCACAGCGGTGGAGCACCTCACCGCCTGCATTGAGATCGGGGTCGCGGTGTGGGGCCGACCCAATCGTCTTCAAGAACCCATTGAAGTGATGAAAGTGATTTTACTATCGTTTAACCGCTCTAATTCTGTGACACAGCACTTCTTTGTTACGTTCACATGTGTGTGTGTGTGTGTGTGTGTGTGTGTGTGTGTGTTGGGTTTTGACTTGTGTTGTGCGGGGGAGTTGTTTTTTCTATCTTTTCTGCTTCACCGTAGCTCGTTATTTATTTATTTATGTATATTTGGGGTTTATGCACTTGTTCTTCTTTATACACTCTTTTTTGTTTCGTTCCGTTTTGTCTATTGTTTTTCTTAGTAGAATTTGTTGTTTCCCCTTTTGTTTCCCTCCTGCGGCGTTGTACCCGAGAAGCGCCTCGCTTCTGTTGTGATTGGGCTAGTTGAAGCTGCGGTCCCGAGGGGATGAAGCGGCTTGTCTGTCGCGTTTCTCCCATCGTCGCAGGGAAGAGGCTGTGGGGAACGAGACACTTCTCCAGTAATAAGGATGCTGCGCTAAATCAAAAGGAGCTGCAGCAACTTGTTAAGGTATTTGAAGATAACCCCAAGCTTTTGATTGATTTGGTTGGAAGGCTAGATGCACAGAGCAGACGGCGTTTGCTTGTTGCCGGTGGGGCCATGGAGTGGTTTGGTAAGGAGAGTGCCGCGTCAGAGGTGGAGCGGGCGGATGTCGACAAGGACCTCAGCATCTCCCCCAAAGACTTTTGATCACTGGTTAGAGAGTGCTTTGCGTAGAAGACACCGAGGGACTCCCCCACAACAACCAGAAAACCCTGTTGTGGCTGGGGAAGAAGAGAAGGTGCCGTTTCTCACATTGGTGTGGATAGCATTTGGGGCAGGTCTACCATTTGTGGGATTTGGTTTCCTGGATAATACCATAATGATACTTGCAGGAGACGCAATTGATAGCACACTTGGGCTTTACCTGAATTGCTCTGTGATGGCGTGTGCCGCCATGGGCAATATCTTCTCGGGTGTTTTGGGAATGCAGATCCACGGTGTTATTGACAAGGCGGTGCAGAAGGTAAACTTCAACATCCCTGTCTTGACTGAAAGCCAGATGAAGGGCCAGCAGGTGTTTTTGGCTGGTCACATTGGCGGAACTCTCGGCATAATGATAGGTTTGTTTCTTGGCATGTTTCCGCTGCTGTTCCTTGACAGCGGTGAGGATAGGGCTGACCATGTACTGTTCCAGCGCTGGGACAAGGATGGCAATGGATACTTGGAGTTGTCAGAACTCGAGGAGGAGCTGGTGAAGCTTGGCCTCCCGGAATGCGCCGTCGAGGCGCTTATGGAAAAGTATAGACTGGACGGTCAGCTGGGCTTCAAACAGCTTCAGAAAGTACGCAATGATGTACGAAAAGGCGAGGCTGTTTTTGCATAATTTGCCAAGCCGGCACCATTTTGCATATATATTTTTTTCTTTTTCTTCAGCTAAAGAATGTGTAAGAGCGGAGCACAGATGGCAACGAAGAGAAGAACAGTGTACACTGCCTGAACATGCAGCCAGATTTTGCGAACTTGCCACACACACACACACACAGTTTTATTATTATTTTGTTTTGTTCTTTTTCTCTTGCTCCCTCTTGCCGTTGTTTTTTTGTCTTTTTAGTTGGCGGCCAGCACCAGAAGCAAGTGACAAGGCCTGTGAGCATTTAGACGGTTATGTTTTTTGGGCGGGTTTCCGCTGAAGAGAACGAAAGTTGTGATGAAAGGAGACATCTGAGAGACTACGGTTTTTTATACGATGCCTGCACCACGACGAGTGTGCAGGAGATGCGGAGGTCACTGCTGGAGAGTTGCTTCCCAGGGGGCGGCATGGGCTCGGGCTGCCTGAGTCTCCTCACAACAGCAGTCACGCCCTCTATGCTTGCGTTGCCACTAGCGTTCTCCATTGCTGGCCTTAGTTTTGCCATTGTATGCATATTTTTCTGTATCATTGTAACTATCATTTCTGTGCGGATTCTTGCCCATGCCTCTGTTTTAGCTGCATCGGATGATTACGAGTCCGTGGCAGGGTTTTTTCTTGGGGCGAAGGGAAGGTGGCTCGTGCGGTCAATCCTCCTCTTTTACAACTTTGGAAGTTCGGTGGTGTACCTGTGTTTTTTGAACGACATCGTTAGGAATATCATTACTGTGAAGGGATCGTTTCTTCCAACATGGTTGCAGGGGAACCTTGGCAGCATCCTTGCCCTTATATTATTTGTGGCGTGTGTGACGCCGTTGACATTCAATTCACGTCTAGCATCGCTTCGAACAATGGGTTTTGCCAGCAATATTATGACGACGTTCATTGTGTTATCCATTGTGTATCGGTTCTTTGTCCCATTGGCGCCGCGTGGAGAGCTGGGCCTTATCATGCAGACTGAAGTGAAGGAGACCCATCGAAGCGTCGCACGCTGGGAACCAATACTGCCCTACCTGTTTACAGTCTCCATCTTTGTCTTTTCCTATGAAGTGCAGTCTAACGTTATGGACGTCATCAAAGACCTTGACGACCGCACGGGTGAATCTCTTTTAGTCTGCATTTGCTTGGCTCTTGCCATGGCGACGGCGCTTTACCTTCCGCTAGGCATTTTTGGAAGTTTATCTTTCCCTCACATGATAAAGGGAGATATTTTGGATCTGTACGATATTAAACAAGATAATCTCATGTTTTTTTGTCAAGTTTTATGTTGTTTTAGTGCGGCCACGTCTTACGTGTTTGGCGTATTTCCGTGTCGTTTTGCAGTATTTATGTTTCTCTCGGATGGAACAACTTCAAGGGTGTCGAAGCGGTCTCGTGTGCGTATAGGCATCGCACTGGCGATTATTGGCGCGGGCTGCGCCATTCTTCTTCCAGACGTATCAAAGGTGGTGGCCTTGCTTGGGGCACTGTTCAGTTCAACGCTTTCTATGACGCTGCCAGCGCTCTTTGCATTGAAAATGAAGCGGAGTAGGACCCATCTCACTTCCGCGCTGGACAGCTTTCTTTCTTGGGCCCTCTTGCTTCTTGGTGTTCTTCTTTCACTGGGTGGGTCGTTGGTAGCCGTAATGGATGTTCTCGGTCTTGCAGATCTTCTCCGAACTTGACGCTGTTGGTAATAGCGATAATGCCAAGGGACCCTTAATGGCATGACCGCAACTTCATGACGAGTACAAATAGAACGCACACTGAAACAAACGATTGCCGATACGTAGTGGGAATGGGGAGTGGCGCGTAACTAGCACGTGCAAACAAAAGCATATATGTGTCTGTGTATCACGTGTTGCTTTCGCGTTATGTCTTCTACTGGTGATCTGAGTGTCGCCTTTCTGAGTTTTTTTTTGTTTTAACTTCTCCCTCCACCGTCGTTTTTTCCACTCTCCAGCTGGGATAGTGTGTGGACCACTTAGGTTTTTATTTCTGGCCGTCATAGTGTATGCTATGCGAAGTTTTAGAGCGCACTGTTACGCAAATACTGCGACGGGCGCGTGTCCCCCTGACAGCAAAGCGGATCTCTGACGCTTTGGGCGGAGTCGTATCAGTTGACAATATTGCTGAGGTCTGCCTGAAACTGATGGCGGATGGTGTCATGATGAAGTGGGGCGACAACGCCTATGTTTTGAAATCCATGAGCCGCATTGTGTCTCGCAACCTCCTTATCACAGAAGAATACCAGGCGCTTGGCATGACACTTCTCCGCGTTGCCGAAAAGACGCTGGTACATTACATACCACAGGAGGCGGAGCACCGTTTTTTTGAGGTCCGCAAGTCAATGATTAGTGACAAGGCTGGCCTTGGGCTCTTCCTACGTTCGTCAAGGGCACTACGGCAGGGTGCTGTGATTTGTGAGTACGTTGGTCGAGTGTTTCACCGTCTGCCCAAGAACTCCAGTCAGGGTGTCTACACTGTGAAGCTGCGAACCGCACCCATTTATGTGGATGGGGTAGATGAGAATGGTAGCCACCTCTCGCTGGCGACCTTTATCAACGACAACGGGCCAGCTGCCGCCAATGTTGAAATGCGGGAATACGATATGCACCCTGGCCGTGTGTTTGTTGTCGCGAGCCGAGACCTTGTCCCGGGGGAGGAGGTTTTGTGTACATACGGTTCGAGGTACTGGGGTTTCTCCTCCTATGATGAGATTCTGCAGAATCGGCAAGACGTGTCTCGTAAACGAAAACGCCACAACGATGATGACCCAAGCGGGAGTGAGGAGGACGACTTTCGGGATTTTGTTTTCCCCTGCAGACGGTGCGGGGAACAGATGCCTAGGCGGCTGATGTCGCTTCACCACCGTACGTGCGGGGACCACTTGGTTCATCAAAAGTTGCTCCATCTGAACTATTTGCCCTTCAACGACTCCACCGCGATGGAGAACAGGAGCAAAGTATTGCCGACAGGGCGGCTACGGGTGCTACGACGGGCGAAACATTTCGTGGACCTGGAGGACCCACAAACCTTTGCTTTGTCTCATGAGGACGTAGTTGGGGACCTCATTTTCTCATGGTCTCCTACCTAGTGCCTCTATCCTTCGTGCAGAGTTCTCTATTATTATTATTTTTTACACGCATTCACATATGGATGTGTGTGTGTGGTGGTGGGGGTGGGTGGGTGGAGTGACACTCCAGGCGGCAAACATCACCAACGCCGCGAAAAAACAACGGTTCATACACATGCAGGTTAGAGGGAGGGAACAGAAGCGCACAAGAAAGAAAAAGAAGAAACGCAGAGTAAGACGCCTGCGGCTGCAGACCAACCTTCAGCTCTCTCTCTCTCACACACACACATGCACTGGTACTTGCGAACAGTTACACATGAATCATGTGGATATCGTTGAATTCTCTCTTCCCCCTTCCCCCCTTTTTTTCTTGCTTTAAAGAGGGATAATCACAGCAGAATTGTGCCTTGCAGTGGACCATACAGCCAAACATCTAGCAACAACACAACAGCGAAGGGAACGGGGTAAAATAAATATCGTGAATACAAAAAAGGAAAGGAAAAAGAAGTCATACGGTCGGAACGGCATGCAACAGAGCACGCGATGTGTGGGTGCTACAGCGCTCATGTACGTGAGGAAGGAGGCTGCGAGGGCTCTTGGCGAGAAGGGGGGTTACAGCGCTGGAGTCATGAAAACGGTGGAGTTTGCACCGGACAAAGTTATAGAGAAAAAAGATGGGGTGCTGAGTTTCCCTTGGACAGTACGCTACGGCGCGCTGAATGGGTTTAAATCCGCTCATGGCGGTGCCTTGTCAACTCTTGCGGACGCATTTACGCGGGTGCACTTGAGTGCCGTCACGACAAGCGAAAAGCTCAATTCAGTGAGCTTTGAGATCAGTTTTCTCAACGCTATTGCGGAGAATACGGAGTGCATCTGTCTTACACGGCTCGTTAGCTTGGACGTCGGCAATCTTGCGTTCATGGACTTCTCCTTCGAGGACGAAAAGTCCGGGCAGGTGTTTGCCCGCGGCACTCATGTGCTCTCTTGGTGCGGGTAACAAAGTTCTTGGATAGCGGGTGAATTTATTTGACGTGGCCCTGACTTTGACGCAAGATTTTGTACTGCACTGTCTTGAAGCGGCACTATTGCAAGGTTCTATTTTCTCTATTATTATTGTTATTATTATTATTTTCTATTTTTCTCACGTTTCGCACATGCGCATACACCTGCTTGTATGTATACATATATGTCTCATTTCTTTAGGTAGAAAGGATGTGTGATACGGAGCTAAGCGAGCTGGTGAAAAAGTTCCAGGCCATTCAGCGACAGGAGGTCCCCAATCAGATTGGAGAGCGTAACGTGGTTGAGATTATCAATGTGTTGCGAGAAAATAAACTGGTTGACCTCCTTTACACGGTTGATGGCAAGGAATACCTCACGTGGGATCACCTGCGGCGCGAGGTTGTCGATGAAATTGCCGTCAATGGTGGGCGGATGAATGTGGTTGACCTGCCCGGTTGTCTGAATGTGCACGTCACATATATTGAGCGTGTGCTCCCAGAGGTGCTCGAAGACCCTGCTATCCGCATTGAAGGCGGGGAGCTCATGACAGACGAATACTTGGACTCAACCGTTCGGGCTGCAGCCGATGTGTTGAATGAGCAAGGTTTTCTTGATATTTCGGAATTCGCAAAAACTCATCGATTTAGCTCCATTTTTGCACAAGACCTTCTCATGAAAGCGATGGAGTCATGCAGGCTGCGTGCGATTGCCGAGGGAAACGCCATCTACACGAAGCAGTTTGTTCACTCGCAAAAAGTTATCTTGCGGGCAGGACTTATGGCGGTGATGCGGCCAGTGAACCTGACAGCATTCTTCGAGCGGCACAATCTCTTTCTGCCGCTTATGGATTCCGTCGTCGAGGCCGTTCGCTCTGAAGCTCCTGGCAAAGTCGAGGGAGTGATCTATGTTCCAACTTGTTTTGAAGTCACTCGTGCAGAACAAGTGGAAAATGTTTACTTCTCCAATGGTTTCATTGACTACACACAGTTGCACCGGCACGGCATCCCGCAGGCGAAAGAATTTCTTCTCGGAAAGTACAACCCTGCTTTGGGAGGGACTACAGCCGCACCTACAACAACAACAACCGGCACAGAGCCGCGTAAACGGCGAGGGCGTCGTAATCAGAACACGGAGGCTTCTGTGGAATCGGCACCGGTGGCTCGTACTGAACTTTACCCTAACGCGGGTCATGCCCTTTCCAGTTGTTTTGTCTCCGATCGATTTCTCGCCAATCTCATTGCTCTTGAGGATCTTGCGCAGGGCGACACTCTGGCGCTGGACCTTACAGTTCACCTGCCGTCCGCCGTAGACTTTGAGAAGGATTCTGATATACTGCTGAGACGACTGCGTGAGCTGCATCCTATTATTAATTCTTGTGCCATTCTAGACGGGGGCGTGCTTATTCATGAATCGACCTTGGATAAAGTGAAGGTGCGGCTGCATGCTGTCTTTGAGGAGATGCTCAAACAAAGGGGAGACAAGAAACCGAAAAAAGCCTCGGAGCGTACTGTGTTTGGAGAAGAACAAGAACAAGTATTTATGCATGTATTGGCCGAGGTGACAGGCCTCGCTTTGGAGGAATACTCACAGGCCCTTGAGGATCTTTCTTCTCAATGGATGGATGTGGCGAGGGACATCTATGATGAATTGGTGGCTGCTGCAGAACAAAACGCGTCTGTGGACCTGAAGCGAACGCGTTCCAAGCTGCAGCTCTCACTGGGCGTAGCCTGGGTGCAGCTATTTGTGGTCTTCAAGGGAGTTGCGTGGTGCTCGTCGCAGTTGGATGTGCTTGTATCTACGGCCATTAATAGGCACGTGTTGAACGCACGTGCCCTTCCAATGGTGCGTGATATTCTTCTTAACGAGAGTCTGGATGCGGCTGAGACGTTTGAGCGTGTATCTGAGCTTGTGATGCTGGAACAGCCCACTGGTACAGTACTCCAAAAGGCATTGCGACTGTTTCCAGAAAAGCGGCGTTCAGCACTGTTGCCTATGGTGGAGGCTGCCAATGGCAAGTCGGTAGAGAACTTTATAAATCTTCTGCAAGAAATGTGCACCACTGGTCAACTCGCAATTTCCTCCTTTCACCAACCAAACAAAAAGGTGGAGAGGGAAACCCTTGCGGCGGTGAAGAAGGAACTGCAGGAGCGAGTCGAAAAGGCCAAGTTTGGTGCCGATCCTGCTCATAACGGTGCTCTTTTTGCATTGATTTGTAGTCTTCTTCTTCACACACAACTCCACGTCTACGTGGAGATTCCTGGGCGAGCGGTAGGAGGTGTAGTGGCACTTCTCGCGAAGGAGACAGCGGCGGCGGCGTTTAGCGGGCTTCTCCGGGACGCCCATGAGCTTATCACAAGTGCATTTAGCGGAAAAGAGCTGAGTGCCGAGTCTCTTGTGAAGCTTGAGGAGCTCCGCAGGATGTCACTGGAAGGAGCGTAGGCGATCACCATGATCATTTGCATTTCTCGATGTTTTTGTCTGTCTAGATCCGTTGTTCGTTCCTTTCCTTCCGCTGAGGATTCTGATTGCCCTGATTGCTGGAGTTCCTCTTCCTCCTCCTGCTTCCGCCGCTGCTGATTGTCGTGTTCTTTACCCTACACTGCATTTCTCCTTGTTTTTTTTTTTCCACTCTTGTTCCTTTCTCTTACTCTTCCGCGCGTCTTCGTCTCCAGCAATGCGATGCGATGCTCCCGGGTCGCCCGTAATATGTGGCGTGCACACGTATCTAGCAGGCAAACAGTGACGGAAATGTACGATGCTCTAGTCCAAAAAGGGACTCTGAGGCATGACCCAAGGCAGCGGGAGATGGCACAGGCATGCACACCACTGTTAAAATATATCCATTCGCTAGAAGAGACGGGTTTGGATACAAGTGGCCCTGCTTCACCTGACCATACCGCACCTGGTATTATGGATGTTATAAACGAGAAACTTATGCGCCTGCGATCTTGGGCTCGGCGACATGCATTCCCCGACCGGGTGACACAGGACGTGGGCGTCCACTGGCCAGAGAATATGGGTGTTGAACGCAAAACAGGTATTTACATGTGGGGAAGCATTGGCATTGGCAAGACTGTGATTTTGGATCTTTTTGAGCTTAGTGAAACGCCTGGCTGGCGGAAGCGTCGGACACATTTGCACTCCTTTATGTCGGATATTGTCATTCGACTGCACAGGGCGGAGGTGACAGCGCCAAAGGACCAGAAAGTGTCTCCCATCAATTGCGTGGTGGAGGACGTGCTGCGTGAGTCCCCGATTCTCTGCCTTGATGAGTTCCAGACATTTGACGTGACACATGCGGCACTATTGGCGTCGTTTTTTTCTCGGGCCCTACCACGAGGGTTGATTCTCTTCACGACGAGTAATCGTCCACCACATGAGTTGGCCCATATCTCAGCCGCATGTGAGCACTTCCTCCCAATGTTGTGGCGCTACTGCGACGTGGTCCACTGTGGTGGCATCAACGACTATAGGGAGAACGCGTCACGTAGCTATCACGATGTCATATTTCTTTATCCAAATACCATGGGAAACGCGAAGCAGCTTATTCAACGCGTGGAACGGGGATTTACGGGCAATCGGGCATGGGAGCTGGATTCAAGTATCTGGCTATACGGACGGGAACTTGTTGTGCCACTTCATTGTGGAGGTGTGGCGCTGTTTGAGTTTGCGCACATCTGCGGTTTCCTCGGCCCCCCCGATTTTCAGTGCATCGCCAAATCGTTTCACACCGTTATCATCCTGAACATCCCACACGTTGCTGCTGTGAGCAAGAACGCCGCGCAGCAGTTTGTTATTTTAGTGGATGAGTTGTACCAGCACAATGTGAAACTGCTCTTTACAAGCGAGGTGCCGTGGGAGCGGCTCGTTGACGCTGGGACAACCGCAGTTGGAGGCAGCGGGGCAGACCTCTGCTACAGCGAAGGGGAAGACGAACGCAGCGGTTATGCTGCCCATTATGAGTTTTGCAACGCAGAAGAGGTGTTGAGTTTTCACCGCATTGCCTGTCGATTAAAGGAGATGGGTTGCAAACACTATTTGCTGCGGGACCATAGTCAGTTTTTGATATCGGACTACAATCTTGCTGTTTTGATGGAGTGAACAAGTTTGAAAGGAAAGAGGGAAAAACGGGGGGAATCATTTTTTGATCTCTCTCTCTCTCTCTCACACACTCACTCTCTTCTTCTTTATGTTATTGTTTGTTGTTGTTTTTTTGTGCGACGCCCTGAAGGAAAAAAGTAATGAAAAAAAAAATGTGTGGTAGAGGCGTTGCAGGGTTATTATTACTATTGTTGTCGCGTGCACGTGTGAGTGTTTCGTCGTGGCGGGGTGTCACCATTACCCCCATTTTTCCTCTTTGCAGTGGCCATGATTGCTTCTACTTTTTGTTTGTTGTATGCGTGTGCTTCTCCGTTTGCCTCCTGACGCCTTTGCTTTTGCATCCGTTAGTTCTCTGTCACGTCCTTCACCACGGAGTCGCCTCTACCATCGTGGAGCTATGATGAGGTGTACTACCGAGCCCTGACCGACGGGGGGTGCTACTGCATCAAAACTGACCCACTAAAGGGGAAGGGGCTGTTTTCTACGCGGAAGATAAATGAGGGAGATGTTGTGCACGAGGAAACGGCCTTGTGCTGCTCACAGAATCTGGACGACACGCTGCGTGGGATTCCCGTTTGCGGAAGTTGCCTTGCGTCACTGGAGAGTTCACGGTGTTGTGTGACGCGCGTCACGGGAAGCAGGGCCTTGGCGATGAAGCTGCCTTATGCTAAGCTACAAGTACATTATCAACCAGTGCGGTGCATCTTTGCGGAATGTGGCTGCACGATGCTCTTCTGTTCTGTGCGGTGTCGACAAGCGGGCTGGTTGCGATTTCATTTTGCTGGTTGCCCTGGCAGTATGACTGAGGATCAGCGGAAAGCATACTACGAATTTATACATCACAACTGGGAGTGCAGAGGAGTGGACTACAGTGATACGGTCTTTCTCGCCTTCCGCTTCATCTGCATGGCCCTCACGAACGTGCGCCTGCACCGTCAGACGCTGGAGTTGGCATACAAGCCGATTGCACAGTTAATCAAGGCGCCGTTGTCGGCCTTTCACTTTACGTATCTTTTTTCCGAAGACGGGTCCAACGACAGGCAAAAAAAGCAGGACGGAGAGCAGCAAAGTGAGCAGGAACAGTTTATGCACCGGGAGACATTCAAGCAGTTGCGTGATACTCAGCCGTCAGTGGCAGACAAAGACACAATGGACGAGTTCCTTTGGACAGGGGTGACGCTGGTGGACCGCATCCTGCAGCTCACCGAGGAGGAGCGTGGTCTGTTGACCGTGACGCGGTGGTCGGAGCTTCTTGGGGCAGTGCTTCTTAACGGACAGGAGCGTAGCCCTCCGTCGAATTACGATCGACTGAAGGAACTCGTGCAGCGCCTACCATGTGGGATGGCCGCCATGAACGCGTTTGAACGGGAGGTGCAGCTGGCAGGCAAAGATGTGGAACAGTTATTTCAAAGCTCGCGGGGTCAGGGGATATACACCGTTGGATGTCTTCTCAACCATTCCTGCGAGCCGAACCTTCAAGTCGTCCACAGCGACTCTGGTGATGAAATGCTGTCGGTTGTCGCCCTTCGCGATATTGATCCAGGGGAAGAGCTATGCATCAGCTACATTGATGAGACCCTGTCTTATCCCGAACGCCAGCAGGAGCTCTACGAGCACTACCTCTTCACCTGTCGCTGCCCTAGGTGTGACCGTGAGTCGGTTGCCCGCGAACTCATGGAACCTTCAGGGAAGGCGCCTCCCTCTGCGTGCACATTCTCGAAATCGCAATAATAACGTGTACTCATGATAATGAACTATGTCCTGGATGATGTTGTCTTCCAATTTTGTTGTTGTCTCTCGCTTGCTTTTGGTTACTGATTAAGGTCTTCCTGTTTCCCTCAACGTGCATACATATATGTATGTATAATTGACTTTCTGTCGTTTTTTCTTTTTTTGTGCGGTGTATCTTCCTCGCGCGTGGGCGTGGAGTGGAGATATAACAGTTTGGTAGGATACGCATATTAAGTGACCTTTTCTTTTCCCGTATAGTATGCGTCAACAGAGGGTGCGGGGCGTGAGTTTCAAGGAGGAGTACATCTGCGCGATGCGTCGTCGTTCTCGTTTTGAGGCGCATGCGTTGGGAACGAAGACGGAGAGAACACTTCTTGCACCGAAGGACAGCACGTTGGCAGATCGAATAACGGTTGTGTTGGACCTTGATGAGACCCTTGTGTATGCACGGGAAGGACCGCTGTACGTGCGCCCCGGTATAGAAGAACTTCTTCAGTTTTTGGAGGAGAATTGTGAAACGGTGGTGTGGACGGCGGGAATGAAACAGTACGCGGAGGCGGTTGTCCGACTTATTGATACCAACGGCAGTGTGCACCATACAATTGCCCGTGATAGCACATGGTTCAGAGGGAGGTCGTGCCGCAAAGATCTGACACTTCTGGGTAGAGACACGGAGACGACAATTGTATTTGAAAACACACCTGACTGCATCCGCGGATTTGAGCAAAATGGAGTTCTTGTAGCTGACTATGAGGGTGGCGAGCTGGAGGATCACACACTGTACACTATATTGGGACTCTTGAAGGATCTGGTGCGGCGCAGGAACGAGGAGCACATCACCGTGCCTGAGTACATCCGCAGTTCGAACCTTCTTAACCTGCGAGTGGTTCCAACCGACGATGGGGACGAGATGTCGTGTTACTGTCTGAATGCATATTGGCCAGAGCTGGAGATGAAGATAAGCAAGCCTCTGAAATGCCGCAAGTTTCTTTACTGCATCGGCGACCGTCGCAATATTGCAGTTCACTAACGGAGTAAAGTTCGGCGGGGTGGGAGGGAGAACGGAGGATAGTGAGAGAGAGGAAAATAGCAAAATTCTCTCAAAAAGTGAATTAATAATTTTGTGTGTGTTTTTAGTGTTTTTTTTCTTTTCTTTTTTCCTTCTTGTTGTTGTTGTTTTACCTTTTTTTTTTATCCCTCTTTACTTTTCAGTTTTTGCTTTTTTGTATTCGTCTGTGTGGTTTTTTTTTTTCTTCTCTCCTCCATTGTTGTGGTCGTTGTTTGTTTCTGCGCTCCGCTCTTCATGGGAGCCGTTTCCCCCTTTTCTTTCTTTTTTTTGTCTTTGTACCTGCTATGCGTTTCTCGGGCGATCCGCCCCGTGTCTCGCATGTGTATTTGCATGCCTCTGTGGGAGGAGGGGCCGCGGGAGAAAGCGCGCCGCGCCCTTCCCTCTTCCCGCTACTTTTTTTTTTTTTTTTGTAAACGTCTTTTTTTTTTTGTTTGTGTGTGTGCTTTATGTTTGCGTTTGTGTTGATGTGCGACCCTTTTTTTTACTTTGCGAGAGTTTTTTTTTTTTTTTGCTTTTTGCAGCCACATCTTTCTTTACAGCTGGTGTGCGACCCTGTCGCTCCGGCTACCTCCAGCTTGGCAGCAAACATAAGCGGAGGGAACTTCCTTTGCTCACTTGGCCGCGCCCGCTTTTTCTTCCTTTTGTTTTTGTTTGTTTTGTCGAGATCCTGCCCACCCCGCCAGTTGATGGATCATTGTTTCCTGTGCACGTGTAGGGCGTTGTGGTGTGGGACGGCCCCCCAAAAAGGTGACCTTACGCAAGAGTGTGGGCACGTACCGCGCGCCTTTTTTGTTAAGCTTCACGTGGTTTTCCGCCGTTATTTTGTTTCTGTGCGCAGGTTTACTTTTGGTAGTTTTGTCGTTGCTTAGACTCTGCTTTCTCTCTCTCTCGGGGAATATTTGGCTTTTCGAAGACGGCAGTCACATGCCATCAGAAATATCCGCAGCCCCGCTGCTTGCTGGTGGGGCGGACGCGCCGGCGGCGAGCGCCCTTCGTGTTAGGCTAGGCATGTTGAAGCCTCGTTTTCACCACCGCTGCATCCGCCTTCACTGGGACTGGGAGTAGGGTAACAAAAAAAGAAGAAAACTTCACACAAACGAAGGAATAAAAAAAAAAAAAGAGCAGCATAAAAAAAAAAGGGTGAATATTGGCGTTCGTGCCCATTTTTCATACGTGTACGCATTTAGTTATATTCCAGCCGCCTCTAAAGAGAGGAAATGAACACGTATTTGCGTCTTTCGCACGACTAGTATTTCATGCTCTTATTTCCCTATGCTATTTTAACGACGGACGTGCATGGATGTTTATAAGTGCATCTGTGTAGCTCAACTTTCTCTACTTTGCTTGGGTGTGGCAGCGCACGCCTTTTTGCCGCGGTGTCACCGCCTCTCTGATGCCTCCTCCCGCGTTTACCACTCACGTATGCGGGAAGATATGGCATGCATCTTATTCTTTTTTTTTGTATATATATATGTATATATTTGGTGCGCCGCTTGCGACGTTTCCTGTTCTTGAAACCACACACACACACACACACACACGGTGGCAGAAGAAATAAAGTAGAACAAGGGGGAGAGAGAGAGAAAACAGCAACGACAAAACAAAAAAAAAAACAGACAAATTTATCGGCACAGGACCTCGTTCCGTCGCGAGAGGGATGGATGCCGTCTTGCGGAAGGTTCAGGAGAAAATCCAGCAGAACTTTCGTCGTGGCGGCGGAGGCTCAAGGTTTTTCAGCACTGCAAGGCGTGGCGAGGGGGTAGAGCTGCACGAGGAACTCAACAGCAACGACAGGGAGAGGCAGAAGAATGCCGTGAAGCGTATCATTGCTGGCATGACTATGGGCCGCGATGTCAGTTACCTCTTCATGGACGTTGTCAAGCTCGGTCAGACACCAAACCTCGAGCTCAAGAAGTTGGTCTACCTTTATGTTCTTAACACAGCTAAGCTGCAGCCTGACAAAGCCCTGATGGTGGTCAACACCTTTTTGCAAGACACAACCAACAGCTCCCCCATTGTGCGGGCTCTTGCGGTGCGCACGATGATGTGTATCCGCGTGGACTCGGTAACCGAGTACACACTGGAGCCTCTTCGACGCGCCGTGGCAGACCCTGACCCATACGTTCGCAAGACCGCGGCCATCGGTCTTGGAAAGTTGTTTCATCAAAACATGCAAATGTTTATGGATCAGGGGTTTGGTGCAGAGCTGCTGAAGCTGCTGAATGATACTTTTTCTATTGTCTCTGCCAATGCGGCGGCCGTTCTAACGGAAGTGAACAACTACAGCTCAACACCTATTGTGCCAACGGGCGAATGCATCAACCGTCTCCTGCATCACCTGCCGGACTGTACGGAATGGGGTCAATTGTTTATTCTGGAACTTCTTGCTGATGCAAAGCCCAAAAGCGCAGGGACGGCAGAGGACATCATTAACCGAGTACTGCCGCGACTTAGCCACAACAATTCCTCTGTTGTAATGGGGGCGATCAAGGTTGTGGTGAATCTTGTCAACCGATGCAGCTCAATGGCCGTGAGTCATTTCAGCTCTAGGGTGAACTCTGCGCTAGTAACACTTTTGGGGGGAAATCCGGAGACGCAGTACGTGGTTTGCAAGAACATTCATGCTATACTTGTGGTATTTCCCAATTTGATCTGCAACAGTCTCGATTTCTTTTACGTCCGCTTTACAGATCCGCCGTATGTTAAGCTTGAAAAACTGCGACTTCTGCTGAAGCTTGTCACGCCCTCTACGGCGGTCCAGATATTAAAAGAGTTAGATGAATACAGTTCTGAAGTGGATTTGGTATTTGCAGAAGAGGTTGTGAAAGGCATTGCGACCCTTGCATTAAAAATTGATTCGGTTGCCTCGAACTGTGTGGATTTGCTCTTGCGCATTGTTGCGAAACGGCCAGAGCTGTTACCGCAGGTGATCACAAGTTGCAAAAACATTGTCCGCAAGTACCCGGAGCAGCTCGTTCTGGAGACGCTTATTGTTGAGCACGGTGCCGATGTCGTTTCGGAGGAAGACGCGAAGGTGTCACTCATCTGGATGTTGGGCGAGTTTTGCGACTTTGTTGAGAATGGAAGGCAGATTATTACTCGCTTTATTGACGAGCTGATGTCGTACGAGCAACCGGTACAGATGGCAATTCTTAGCGCCGTCATCAAAATGTTTTTACGTGACCCGGTGGGGATGGAGCAGACGCTCAATGTTGTGCTGGAGACCTTGACGACGCGAAGCGAGGACCCTGACCTGCACGACCGCGCCTACGCCTATTGGCGGCTTCTCTCCAAAGGTGTGGGGGTAGCGAAGATGAAGCAGATTGTGCACGGGCACCATGTTCCCATCACCGTGGAGTGTACCTTCAGCGACGCCATGACGATGGCGGACCTTAAGAAGTCCATCAACACAACTGCTGTGGTGTTTGGTAAACCGTTTCAATCCTTTCTTCCACTGTATGGAATTCTCAATGAGGATGCCAGCGAGGAGGAAGAAGAAGAGACCGAAGAAAACGTCACGGTCGTGCAGGCACCAATCGTTTCTCCTGATTCAGTTGCTTATCCGAACTATCCCACATCAGTAGCCAGCGGGCCCCTGGCATCTAATCATGTGGATCCACTGGATGAATTGTTTGGCAGCCCATCCGTGACTTCGGCTGCGCAGCCGCAACAACCCGAACAACAGCAACAAGAGCTATTGTTCAGTCATACGGATCTTTTTGATGCACAGCCTCAACAACAAGAACAACAACGGCTGCCACCGTTGGTTCTTCCGGCAGGGAGTGTTGGAGTGGCTGTGCATTGTCAGCTGGTGGAGGGGCCCGCGCTGTGGATTGCCCTAGTGAACCACCAAGCCGTGAAAATTGATCAGCTTGTGCTGCAGATCAATTTAAACATGTTGGGGTACCTTCCCGAGGCCGGGCTTTCCGACTTTATGGCCTCCGTGCCTGCTGGTGAAACACGCTTGGTGAAACTGCCGCTTAAGGTGTCGAGAGGGCACTTTGATGTTGCACGTTCAGCACTGGAGGTTGGAATTAAGGGAACAAACCTGCCGCTCCTCATCTTCCGGGTAGAGGTGCCAGCGGAGAGACTCTTGGCGCCTTCTATTCCAGTAGAAAAGTCCGTCTTCGTAGCTGAATGGCAGACGCTGAATGAATCAGCGGAGATCAAGCAAACACTCGGTGAACTTGGGGAAAATATGCTTGCTTCGCCAGATCGGCGCGGCATTTTAGAACGCAATCATATTTTTCTTCTCACCCCGGAGCGTGATTCGGGAGACTTCATCTCATATTACGGTAAGGTGACTACCACGCTTGGATTTGATGGATTAGTTGAAGTTGTTCTCAACAAGAAGAGGCCGTCGCAAAGTCAGTTGTGTCTCAAAAGTCACCATGTGGATTCGATCATGCCACTTCTGCTCAAGGTGATTCGGACTGTGTTTCCCAAGAGAGCGGTGACCAGTGGGGCGGCGGAGGCGGAGACGGAGACGGGCCGTAGTCATGGATCAGAACTGGATAACTGGTTCTCTTGAAATGGACAACATTTACCAGAGGCAAATGCACTACTACAAAGACAAGGATCATATATATATTAAAAAATGGGAGGAAGAAAAAAGCGTAGGAATCCTTTTTAGTTAGTCAACTTCATACAACGATAGCGTAGCGTGCGAGAGTGGTTGGAGAAGATGTGTTACAGCTTCCTTCTGCCCTCTCTCCTCATTTGTTGTTGTTTTTGCCTGTGCCCCTTTCTTTTTACAATCATCTGAGCTTTTGATTTTGCGTGCAGGAAATAAAGAAAGAAAAGAAAAGGGGAGGGAGGAGTACAAGATGATCGACACAGGGGCACCCCCTTCTTTCCCCCTCGTTTTTTTTTCTTTTTTTATGCTCTGCTGAATGTCTCCACTTACCGTCCCCCTCCCCATCTACACTTTTTTTTTTTTATGTGGGTTAAGGTAACGAGCATAGGATGTTCCGTCGTTTCTCCGCAAGCGCGTTGTCTGTCGCTGCGGCTCGCTTCTACACCCCATCGGAGGGTCTCAAGAAGCTGTACACTAGCGATTTTGACAAGGCTGCATTTCCGCTGAACATTGTGCCCGGCGATAGTGTTCTTTTCGCAAAGTTCCTTTACAAGGCGGCTGAACAGACAGGAAACTTTGATGTTATCCTGAGGGACTTTCAAAAGATCGCAACTGCCTCGAGTAAATTTCCCGTCTTCTGGGAGCGTACGACGATCATTGAGGACGTTGCCGAGTTCAAGAACCTATCGGAGCCCACGTTCTTTACGCTGGTGTGGATGCAGAATAACGGCATGTTAGACCTCATCCCGGAAGTGGCGGAGGTTTTTGAGACGTACGTCAACGCCAAACAGAATAAAGCTGTGGCGAAAATATACGTGGCCCCAGGGAAGGAGAGCGACGTGGCGGAAGCCAAGCGTGTGGCGCAGGAGCTGCACAAGGAAGCAAAGGAGCTTGCCGGCCACACACTTGTCTTTAAGACGGTGGTCGATCGCTCCATTGTGACAGGTTTTGCGGTGGAACTCGCCGGGCGGTACGTGAACCGTGCTGAGGGCCACAAACAGCACACCACCGTGGATGAGGCGGATTATACCACCGTTCCGCCACCGAGGCTTTCGAAGACCGTGTGGGAAGATAACATTGAAACGGAGGTGCTTCGCCGGTATCTTGACAGCCTCGCCGAGTATGATGCGGAAGAGGCAAAGTACGGTGTATGAGGGAGAAGTGCACAAAAGAAGGGAGACGGGGGGCTGCAAGATATTTCAAGGTAAAAAAGTAAAAAAGAAAAAAAGGACAAAGAAGGCGGAACAGGCGGAAAGTAGAAAATAAGAGAAAACAAAACGAAAGAAAAAAGGAGAGGGGAATTTCTTTTGAGTTATTAACCCATTTTTCTCTTTTTCTGGTCCCTTTTCACCCCTCAGTCCGTGAGTGTGGGGGGAAGGGAAGCAGCGCATCGTGTGAGGCGACGGCGGAGTAGGCAATTTTAGAGGAGTGGAAGTAGGAGAGAGATGGAGAGGGGGATACTAATGGTGCCAGTAGCAACAACATCATTGGCCAAATTTTCTCAAGTCCGTCCTCTCACAATGTTGCCGCTTGTTTTTGGGTGCGTGTGTATTTGTGTCTACGTACGTTTGTACCGTTGTGTGTGTGCAGTGTCACTACAAACTCCAGTTTCCTTGCGACTTGTTGTTGTTGTGTGTTGATAATGCGATGTTCGGCTCTTTTCCCCTGTCGGTGGCGAAAGAACCTACAAGTGCTTTTAGAAAACTAATAGCGAAGAATAGCAATTCTTTATTTATATATTCCTTCTTGCGTGGCGAGCACTAACAAAGAATGCAGAGTCAGGTGAGGGTTATCCTTGATGGCTGCTCTCTTACACCTGATGCGTTATACTCTTTGGGCTATGAAAAGGGCGCCACAATTGAACTTTCAGACGAGGCAGTTACAAAAATTAAAGCTGGACGTGCCGTGATCGATAAGATTGTTGAGGAAAATCAAACGGTTTATGGCATCAATACAGGCTTTGGTAAATTTGAGTCAACGATTATCGCACCGGATCAACTGGAGCTTCTGCAGCTGAACCTCGTTCGATCCCACAGCGCATGTGTGGGGGAGCCCCTGACACCCCAACGGGCCCGCATGATGATGGCCCTTCGTGTCAATATTCTCTGCAAAGGTCACAGCGGCATTCGTTTGGAAACGGTTCAAAAGTACGCCAAGGCATTCAACGCTGGTGTGGTTCCCTACATTCCAGAACAAGGAACCGTTGGTGCCAGCGGGGATCTGGGTCCACTCTCCCACCTGGCCTTAGGGATGCTTGGTGAAGGACGCCTTGCAACGCTTAACAACCTGAAGTTCCGTGAGGCCCGGCTTGTTTTACAGGAGCTGGGCATCGAACCCATCACGTTGAAGGCGAAGGAAGGGTTGGCGCTTATTAACGGAACGCAGTTTATTTCTGCCCTCGGTACAGAAGCTGTTGTGCGAGCTCGAAGAGCTGCTCTCCTTGCGGACGTTGTTCTTGCAATGTCTCATGAAGCGCTACTGGCATCTGTGAGTGCCCTTAACCCCGAGATTCACCGTGTGCGTCCTCACAAGGGTCAGCAGATTGTGGCTCAGCGTCTGCGGTCACTTTTACACAACGAGAAGCATATCTCTTCGATTCTACTCAGCCATAAGGCTTGCGGTCGCGTTCAGGATGCCTATTCTATCCGTTGCTCTCCCCAGGTGCATGGGATCTCCAATGACGTCATCGAATGGGTATACGGCGTCCTCACCACGGAGCTCAATTGTGCCACCGATAACCCATTGGTATTCCCGCATGGAGCGGTAAAGGTGGTTTCGTGTGGCAATTTCCACGGTGAGTACCCAGCGAAGGCCCTTGATATGCTTGCCATTGGTGTGCATGAACTTGGGAGTATCAGTGAGCGTCGTATCGAGCGTCTTAACAATCCGTCTCTCAGCCGCCTTCCTGCGTTTTTGGTGGAAAACGGAGGACTTAACTCGGGCTTTATGATCGCTCATTGCACTGCTGCCGCCCTTGTCTCGGAGAACAAGGTCTACTGTCACCCCGCCTCCGTTGACAGCATCTCCACCTCTGCTGCTCAAGAAGATCACGTTAGCATGGGAGGGTTTGCCGCACGCAAGGCCATTAAGGTGGTGGAAAATGTCGAATACATCCTTTCCATCGAGCTTCTGTGCGCCTGCCAGGGCGTCGATCTCCTGCGGCCGCTCACGTCGACGGAGCCGCTGGAAAAGGTCTGGAGTCTCGTCCGTAACGTCTGCCCCAGTTGGGGTAAGGATCGTGAAATGCACACCGACATCAAAAATCTTGCAGAGCTGCTGCGCTCCGGTGCCGTTTGGAACGCCGTTAAGAAGTACATCCCAGAGGAGGCGCGCTTCCTAGATGTCTTTACCGTCAAGAAACCGTTTGAGCTGAAATCCAACATTTGAGGGGTAAACACATGGAACACAATAACAAGGCAATTGATGATGCCAATGTGGCGGAGAACAGCATTCCCCCTTGGCTCAGTCTCCCTCTGTAAAGGGGCAGTGGTAAATAAAGGTATAATCCAGAGAAAAACGTATCATTAGTAGAAAAAGGAAAAAAGGTGCGCAACTTTTTAAAATGAAATTGGGCCAAGACTTTTTTTTTGTACTACTATCTTTATATATATGCTGATTTTCATTATAAATGTATATGTATATATGTATATATAATGGAAATATGTAGGTGGAGGAAACTTAATCCGTTATTTTCTCCTTACCAGTTGCATTTCGTCAAACAGAGAATGCGTGAGAAGTGGTATTTTAGGGCAATCTATAAATTTGTTTGGAGGTAGACGCTGTGATAGATTGGTGCCCCCTATTATTTATTTATTTAGTTGTGTCTAACAACTCAGTTATTTTATATTGATAAAGGCATACAGGCCTATCTTGTATTTCTTTATTTGCATCGACACTTGTGTGGGGCTTCTTTACCACTTATTTATAGACTCCTGCTTTGTAACCTAGCCCTCCGAATCGCTGACTACGAAGTATACTCTTGAGCTCTTATATCAATATCGTACAACTTTGCGAGAAGTACGGCGTGGACAGAGGGGGGAGAGAAAAATGCATAAGGTGGAGAAATACGGATATACAGTTTAGCAGGGTTGCCTTGGTCTGGTTGGACCGCGCGTTTTGTGTGCTTGTGTGTCTTTATCGGTTGTTGTTGTTTGTGATTCTATTGTTTACTTTTTCAACCTTCGCCTTTTGTTTCTCCTAATTTTGTGTGCTTGTTTCTTTAAAGTTTTAAAGTGAGGAAGGAAAATAAAATAAACAAAAAGGCAATGCGCTCCCTGTACCCGTTGGCGAGGCGCTCGGCGGCGGCCTACACGATGCACAGTGTGAATGTGCCCGAGGCCTACGACTACCTCGAGAACCCTGAGAACCCTGAAACAAAGTCGTTTGTGCAGGCACAAAATGCATTATTTGAAGACTATCTTACTTCCGATGCCGAGTTGCGCAAGAAACTCTTTGACAAGATATTAAACTCGCAGGATTACCCGCGTAGTTCCAACCCCAGTTTTCGCAAGGGGCACTACTATTACTATCATAACTCCGGCCTGCAAAATCAGAGTGTTTTGATGCGCGCGAAAAGCCTTACCGATGACGCTTTGAGCATCTTTCTGGATCCCAACACAATGAGCAGTGACGGTACAACGGCTGTAAAGGTCTCCGCTTGGAGCGAGGACGAGACGATGTTGGCCTACAGCCTCAGTGATAAGGGAAGTGACTGGCAGCACATCCATGTGAGGCGTGCAGACACTGTGGAAGACACTTCAGATGTGATTGAATGGGTCAAGTTCTCTGGCATTGCATGGTGGCACAACCATGGATTTTTTTTATACACGTTACCCTGAACTTCAGGGTAATGTGGACAAGGGTGCTGAAACAGACCAAGCGCTGGATGCGTTTATCTGTTTTCATTATATCGGTCGTCCTCAAGAGGAAGACGTCGTGATTCTCTCTGTACCGAACCACCCACAGTGGTCACTGACGGCAGAGGTGTCTGACTGTCAGTCTTACGTCATTGTCTCTCTTTTTGACGGTTGTGATCCACACAACCTTGTGTGGGTTGCGGAACTTCCATCGGCTGAAGAGGGACTTGGTTCTGAACCATTGTCCTTTACAAAGCTTGTAAATGGGTTTGTTGGCACTTATGACTATTTGGGAAATAACGACAACATATTCTACTTTGTGACAACCCGTGATGCACCAAGAAAAAGAATTGTATCCATTGACATACACACTGGACACGAAGAGGTTATTGTGGAGCAGCAACCTTCCGTCCTAAGTCACGCCGCCCTTGTTAAGGATGTGTTTTTTCTCGTCTACCTGGAAGATGTAAAGGACGTGTTGTATTACCGCCGACTAGATGATCCTACATTAAACATCATCGCATTGCCTATTGGAACGATCACTTCATTCTTTGCCGAGCGAAAGAAGGAGTTTGTGTCTTTTAAAATTATGTCCTTCCTCCTTCCAGGACGTAGTTTTTTACTGGACGTTAAAGACCCACAGTCGTCGCTTCGTGTCTTTAAAGATGACACGGTGGAGGGACTTGTGGCGGATGATTTTGTCACGGAGCAGAAGTTCTACAACTCGTCAGACGGCACACGGATTCCGATGTTTGTTGTTTACAGAAAAGGCAGTGTAACCTCCAACTCGCCGCTGTTGTTGTACGGTTACGGTGGCTTCAATATTTCTTTGACACCTGCATTCAGCGCCTCACGGATGGTGTTTTTGAGAAACCTTGACGGTGTACTCGCGGTACCGAATATCCGTGGTGGTGGTGAGTACGGCGAGGACTGGCACAACGCCGGTCGACGAGCCTGTAAACAGAACTGTTTTACAGACTTCATTGAGGGAGCCAAATTCCTGCACCGCCACGGCTACGGCTCTCCACAGACAACTGCCATCATGGGTGGCTCAAATGGTGGGCTGCTTGTTGCGGCAGTGGCGAACCAAGCCCCAGAGCTGTTTCGTTGTGTTGTCTGCCAAGTGGGGGTGTTGGATATGTACAAGTTTCACAGGTTTACTATTGGGCATGCGTGGAAGTCCGACTATGGTGATCCAGACAAGGAAGAGGATTTCAAGGTTCTGCAACAATACAGTCCACTACACAATATTAAATCTGGTATCAAATATCCCGCCATCTTGGTGGTGACAGGCGACCACGACGACCGGGTGGTGCCACTACACTCACTAAAGTATGTGGCAACGCTACAACATGCAAACCCAACCGAAGGTGGGCCTTTCTTGGCGCGCATTGAGACGGCAGCGGGTCACGGTGCAGGCAAACCGACGAGCAAGATACTGCACGAGACAGGCGATATTTACACATTTATCGCCAAGAGTATCCATGCGTCGTGGAAAGAATAGATGGGAAGAGTATATTATATTATATATATACATATATATATATATATATATATATATATGGCCGCCATTGTTTTAAGCTAACTTGGCGCCATTATTATTATTATTGTTTTTTTTTGTTTGCAGCACGCCCTCTAAGATTATTGTAGTTGTTGTGACATTTTTTGTTTTATTTTGTTTTATTTTATTTTATTTTATTTTGTTTTTTAATTGTTTTTTTTTAAATTTTAAAAGGGCTGTAGATGTCTTCTCTCATGGTTGCTTTTTAGTTCTTCCTCTTCTCCATATGGAAGGAATATTTTGTTGCTACGTCTTTTCTTGTTTTCTTGAATGCACGCATGCGCAGTACTTGAGGCCCGTAAAGATGGTGGCCGAAGAAGGAGCGACACTAAAAGGAGTTTTTTCCCACAGATTTGTGGAATGAGCCACTGCGTGCGGTAAGTCGGACGCGTGATCGGCTGGGTCATATTGACTTTGCTATGGTGGTGCCCCCGCTGCGATCGTTTGTGTACTGCATGTTGTGTCCTTTTCTCTGCTATCCGATTGCCGTGCTGTACTTGTGGGGGTATTACCGCTGCATGCGGACCCCAATCTTCCCCAAGTCGTACCGAAGGGAACGCCACACCTCACATGTGATGTACGGCGTGCAGAAGCGCGTGTATGATGCGAAGCAAAAACGTGTTCAATGAGACGACAGTAAGTGATTCAGATGAAGTTAAGCGCGCCCTTGAAGTCACGAATGGCGCACGAAATCATTTTGTGGATGATCCCAACGTGAATGGTGTCGCGTACTTTGTCGTGGATCAAAAAATTATGAGGGCGGAGGCCATTTTTACAGGGGAAAATTGGACCTGGGCGTTTATCTCGGACAGTTGCAGATTTTCAATCCCTGTCCTCTTAGCGTACGTATTCGTTCCCTCGTGCAGGTGGCTTGGAATAGACCTACAGTTCTGGGTTCAAGGTCGTTTGTGTTGGTGGCAGTTGCGGCATCCCATACTTCTTCATTTCGCACCGGGACCACAACAGCGCCATCAAGCGCATCAACATCACGAAGCCCCCACCAAAGGGCAAGGAGCAGTGGACCAAAAATCTTTAGCGCCAACCGTACAGACACGTGTCTGGCTGTGTGGGACAAAATAAATTTAGTTTTATTTTCCGTTGTTTTTTTTTTTTTGACAATGGCCTGTAGGAAGAGGGATCTTCCAGGGGCGGGACGGCTACCAATGAGGGAGGACGCGGAGAAAAGAAGAAAAGTAGCGAGCTTCCTCTCACCTTCATCTTGTATGTACGTGTTGTTTTTATTTTCGCTGCTGTTATGTTCTTTAGGTTTTATATGTTGTTGTTTTTTTTCTTTTATCTATTTATTATTATTTTGGTGGGGGGGGGGTGCACTTGGCTAGGGTTTGGTCTCTTTGCAGGACGGGTTTTCTTTGTGAGGAGGTGGTAGACGGGGATGCAGGAGGCTGAGCGTTTTGTGGCCTCGCTGCACGCTACACGAGAGGATGAGGAGCAGCGGCGGGAGGCTCTCAGGCGGCGGCGCATTGATTGTATCATAGCAGGCAAAAAGGAGCGCACGCAGCGTTCCAAGGACATGCTGAGTGTTGTTCTGCAGCGCGGCGTCCAGGCTGTATCGTTGCCCGAGGACAAGTTCTTGGGTTCCCTCGGGGATGTAGGGAGGTGGTGGGACCTGATCAGCGAGCATATTCTGGAGGAGAAACGGGAGTGTGAGGAGGCCGTGAAGCTGCAGAAACGGCTGAACTCCATGTACCTAACGTCAATGAAGAGGCGAGAGGAGAAGGAGCAGTCAACAGCGATTGGAAGCGACGAGCGCCGGTTGCGCGAGTTGGAAGAGTGGTGTTTGGAGGAAGAACGCAGGACAAGGGATGATGTGATTGGTGACGTCGTTAACCGCATTCTCTTGGCTGTTGACGCATGCATCGGATTCACTGAAAAACACGCTCTTGAAGGTAGTGTTTGTAACACGCTCCTTGGCGGCATCACTCTGAATGCTTTTATTCGAACCATCAACGGGACATCATTGACTGGGGAAGAGCGAGCTCGCATTGCCTTTACAGATATCTTTCACTGCCATCCATTTCAAATAACAGGGGATGCATTTCTTTACCTTCTTTATGCCATGTACGACAAACTGGCACCGGATGCCTCTTCTGTCAACTGTTTTGATATCTCTTGCAGGCCGCTGTTTGTGATAAATGGACCAAAGTTTAGCGGTAAGACAGTTGTGTCTCGTGAGGTTTCTGCTGAACTTTCGCTGTTGTCCCTCACAGATCGGGACCTGACAAATAAGGCCCTGCAGGCGTACCGAAATGAGCGTAATGGTTTACCAACCCTTGTGACGGTAGAAGACAGCAACGCATTGCCAGTACTCTCAGCCTATGAAGAGCATAACGTGCAGGACGAGGAAATTGTATACCACAGCGAGTCACGCATTGAACAGGTTGTCGAATCCTTTGTGCGGCTTAGTCCATGGGCTAAGGTGGGCAAGACCATTGAGGCTGCCCTTTTCCGCGGTGAAGCAGTGGACCCATACCTCATCGTGGAGCTGATGCAGCTGGAGATGGCTGACACCACATTGCAATGTGAAGGTATATTGTTCGACGGAACGGTTGGTGTATTGGGGCAGCTTTGTGTTCTGCAGCGTATGATTCCAAAAAAGGTGCATTTGTTTGAGGGGGTCTTGCGAGACTTCCCGCCCCGTATAGAGGAGGTTCCCTTATCAACACTGCTGCTTGTACCGCGGGAGACACACTCTAATGTGGGCAGTCTGAAGAGCGAGGTCCGGCCAAGGCCACCAAAGAAAGGAGTTGACCTCAGCGCATTGCCACCGCCTGTGCTGCCAGAGGTGACACGGCCTGAGTTGACAGAGGAGGAAAATAATGCAATAGCATACTGGGAGCAACACGGGCAGATGTACTCTCTATTCTCAGCTGTTGTGCATATTGACTGCAGGCCGCATGAAATTTTTGGCCGCTTTGCTGGACTTCGTGTTGATAAAGAGACAGGAGAACATTACCACATGGTGTTTAGTCCTCCGCCGACAGAGCGCTTGCCGTATTTGGTAAGCCTCGACCGTGTGAAAACTTCCACAGCGCAGCTGCACCGTCTCTTGTTTAACCAGAACTGGTACTGGGAGACGATGAGGCGCTGGCTGAAACGTGAAGAGGGATGCGGTAAAAACGTGCACGAAGTCAACGGAGAAAGAGCATTGGAGGAAATCATAGTTGATGTTCGGAATATTATTCAAGAGGCAGGAGAGAAATACAAGGAAGGCATTCGGTATCACGATGCTGCAATGGCCGCAAAAAAGAGGCGGGCATACATTGATGCAAGCATTGCTGAGCAGGAGGCAGCGCAGGAGGCTGAAAGAAAGCGTCTCATAGCGGTTTATGCAGAATGTGGAGCACCTATTCCGCCGGAATTAGAGTCTCGGTCACAGTTGTCGTCATTTTACACAATGCCAGATGCTCTACCAGAGGCTTTCATGCGACTGTTTTGCGCCTTTAGGACTCAATATGAGAGTGCATATGACTGGTTGGGGACAGCTGTGGAGAAACTCGCCAATGTGATGCTGGAGCACCGCTTCGAGGCGATGGATCTCTTCAATTACTTCTGGAACCAACAGGATGAAAAGCAGGAAAAACTGGATCAATTCGTGGCCAACTACAATGGAGTACCGCCCGAGATTCTGGGACAGCCCACATGTAAGGAGGAGCTACATCAGTTGGTGGATCAGCTCAGGGAGGAGTTGTTTCGCACGCTGGAGGCAACTGAAAAGGAGGCCAGTACAATGATTGAGCAAATCACAAAAAAGGAGTCCTTCTCAGGGCCATGGTGTGTGGCGGTGTGTAATGTTGGTGTTGCTATGGTGCAAGTGGAATTGGAGCGGTTCTTGGTGGCACTGAACTTGGTGGCGATGTACTTTGCCGCCGTTGTGAATGAGCCCTGCAATTTTGAGGAATTGGAATCGGAGGTCATTCTTGTACGTTCCACCACGGAGGCCGCGGCGGAGCAGACAAAAGGGAAAGAGAAGAAGATGCAAAGCACCAAGAAGGCTCCGCAGCTGGAGGAAGTGGTTGAAAAGACCCTTGAGGACACCTTTGTAGAGACCGTTGGAAAGATTGTAACCTCCATGGAAAACCTTGTGGGGAAGTTTTCTTCTGTAATTGAGGCGTCTGTGAAGGTGCGTGAAAGTGCCAAGACGTCTGCCATGGTGGCGGATGATGGAAGGACGGTATTGATTCTCAAGAGGTGTTTGCCCTTTGTTCAAGGTGAGTTGTCCAAGGCGCAGGAGCGTATTTCCTGTATACGGCAGTTCTTCCTTCAAATCCAACGTGAAGGGGAGGCGTACTGTACACGCATGAAGGACAACATGCTCTCTCACACACGGGAGAAAAGTTTCCGCCAGGCTTCAGCAGTAAACACGGCGATCTACATTATTCGTAACGCCATTGAAGAAGAGCGGCCTCTTCCTCCCATGCACTTGGGACGCGATACGTTTCACACCGTCCCTGCGGCAACACAAGAAGCAATCGATCATTGCCTTTCCTCATCCCATAAGCTGCAGATATTGCCGGCGTCAGAAGGACCAAAGATCCATGCAACACTCTCTTCTTCTCGGTTGGTGGACATCATTATAGCATTCCGTTCTGTAGCGCCTGACTACGCACTGGGACGCACGGAGTTCTTTTACATTGTGCGTCCTGACGATTACGCTGGGGCCACTGCCAGAAACCTTGGTCGTCTTAAAACACCGGATGAGCTTTTTGCCGCGTTTGATCCGCTTGGTTGCGGTTTCATCGACTGGCGGGAGTTTGTGGTTCATCTGCTTTTATGGTGTGCGCCGGTGCCGGAGGTGGGGTCAGACGTAGATGTGAAAAATAATTTTTATATCCCTGAATGCTCCATCACGGAGCTGCTGGAGATCCGGACCGACCTTGGCCCCGAGGCGGTCACCGCGGAGGTTTTTTATGATATCCCCTTCTTCTTTGATAACTACATGGCGGACGACCGGTTGGAGGCGTACGTGCGTGCGCTGTGGATGACATTCTCGGCCGCAGACGGTTTGTTGGATCCGATGCCTTTGTTGGTGTTTCTTTGCATTGACCGACAACCCATTCGCGGGACGCAAAAGGCGTTCTATGTCCTCTCTCAAAATGGGGACGGCGTCTTGACGTCAGAGGAATTGGACTTTGCCTTTCACGTGCGGGTGACGAACCCACGTAACATGTGTCTTTCAGATGTATTTTCACCCGAAAACATTGCAACGCTCTACGACGGTGAGCTCTCGCTGGCCTTTCAGTCTGTTGGCGCGCGGGTCATTGGGCGTACCATGCTCAACCACACCGATGCATTTCACCGCAAGTCTTTCCTTGAAAACGAGCCTCAAGTCAAGTGAGTAGAATGTAATTTTAGAGTGAATAGCCTTCAAACAGGCCAACTATGACGACAGGAAAGAAAGAAAGAAAGAAGAGAGAGAAGGTGCGTACATGTCTCTCATTTGCTTCGGACGGATTTGCCTCCTCCATGTTGCACTTTGCTCTTTTATTTGTGCGCTAATCCGTGAGTGCATATATGTCCGTTTTTGTTTTTGTTTTTGTTTTTGCTTGCACCACTACCGCCCTCAATAAACTTGGTACCTGCATTGGAGACTAGAGTTGCCCGATAGGTACTCGCATGGCCGACAAGCACGACAGGAAGAATGAAGCTGACAGTGTGCACAAAGTCACAGTGCTGCAGCGTTTTGTCGGTGGGACAATTGGTGGGATGCTGCAGGCGTTAACCAGCCACCCATTCGACACCGTCAAGTCGCGTGTGCAGAGCGGACTCTTCCCTGGCGTCTTGTCCTGCTGTCGTCATACATGGGCAAATGAAGGTTGTCATGGTTTTTATCGTGGGCTGGCCCCACCACTCGTAATGGGCGGTGTGTACAATTCCATATTGTTTAGCCTGAACCAGTTCATGACGAATTTAGTGACACCTGCGGGTTTCGATCCAAAAAACAGACTCCCACTCTGGCGGACAGCCTTGGCAGCATGGTTGACGGCGCCGATTTACACCCTCTGCATCACCCCGATGGAGAATGTAAAGGTGAGGCTGCAGTTGCAGAACAACTCCCAGGCAACAAAAAAATTTACAGGCGCAACCAGCTGTATTCGTTACATCTTTGTGAGGGAGGGTTCACTCGGATTCTTTGCGGGGTACGTACCAACGATGCTCTCGCGCCTAGTGGGGCTCCCCTTTTACTTTTCAGGATACCAGTTGGTAAAGCAGCAGATAGACAACTCCGCCTTTGGAGCAACCACAGGAGGGAGGAACTTTGGGGTGGTGATTAGCGGATGTGTGGCGGGGGTAGTCTTTTGGTTGAGTAATTACCCTTTTGACTACATGAAGACACAACTGCAGTCAGGTGGCAACACGAAAAGGACCTTCTCAGAGGTATTTGTCACCACGTATAGGACGGTTGGGGTGCGGGGCTTCTACAGAGGCCTCCCAGCATGTCTAGTGCGTGCGATCCCTGCCAACGCTTCTGTGTGGCTGGGCGTCGAGTGGGTAACGAGGATCATGCGGAAGTATGAGATTTGATGCCTCGGTCCGCTCCGTCCTTAGCTTTTATTTGCTTATCCCGCATCTCGGTCTTGTCTATATTTTCATAAGCGGTGACATTTGTATCATCCTTCTTTCTGCCTGTCTCTTGGTTAGAGGCAGATGGGTGTTGAATCTACTTTCCTGGCCTTGTGATGTGGGGGGCCTGTGCGCGTGTTTCGCGTCTGGGTATTCTTCTTAAGGGTGGCATTGCCTTATATGAATACATATGTACGTGCATTATTGTTCTTGTTGTTTTGGCCTTGCAACGGTGGTGCGCGCAATTTTTTGTTTGTTTGTTTGTTTGGAAAAGTGCACAATAAGATTCAGTTCTTCTTACTTTTAATTTTACTATTGCACACACGCAGGCTACACTGTTTCCTTTGCTCCTCAACAGGTTGCAGACGTACAAACAACGATAAACCACCCCCAAAACTGTATTTTGTTTATTTTGGTGGTTTTTTTTTGTTATTAATTTTTCTCCAGCCCTTTGACTATTGCTTTTCTCTTGTCACTTTCAGACGCTAGCAATGCTGTGGGTAGACAAGTACCGCCCCAAGTCGCTCGATGAAGTGGAGCTGTACCCGGAGCTGACAGGAGTGCTTAAGCGACTTGCTGAATCGCAGGACCTTCCGCACCTGCTGCTCTACGGCCCGTCAGGTACGGGGAAGAAGACACGCGCCATGGCGGTTCTACATCATGTGTACGGCCCCTCTGTGTATTCCCTGCGGCTTGAGCACCGATCTGTGCAGGTGACAGATAGCAAAGTTGTTGACATTGCAATCCTGAGCTCTCCGCATCATATTGACATCAATCCCTCAGATGCTGGAAACTACGATCGGGTGATTGTAATGCAAATGATTCGGGAGATTGCCCAAACTGTCTCATTGCAGACTAGTACCTCCACTGGCGTAAGGTATAAGGTGGTGCTTCTTAATGAGGTGGATAAAATGGGCCGAGCCGCGCAACACGCTCTTCGACGAACGATGGAAAAGTACATGTCAACATGTCGGTTGGTGCTTATCTGCAACTCAACCTCGCGTCTCATAGCACCGCTTCGTTCACGATGTTTGGCAGTCCGTGTCCCTTCGCACTCCAAGGAAAATTTAAGCAAAGTTGTCCGGCACGTATGTGAGCGCGAAAATCGGTCACTGCCCTCCGCGGCGTTCATGGCTACCGTGACACAGCGTTCCGAGGGTAATCTGCGCCGCGCCCTGTTGATGGTAGAGGCAGCTGCCATGACAAACGTCGAGTTCTCCGGGAATGGCACTGATATTCCCCAGCCGGACTGGCTGGTATTTCTTGACGAAATTACCAACGACATTCTCTCAGAGCAAACGCCGAAGAAACTGCATGAAATACGTGGAAAATTCTACGATCTCCTTGGTCAGTGCGTCTCTGGCGAAGTGATTCTTCGTGTGGTCCTTGAGAAGCTAATGTCTGCGGTCGATCCCGCACTTCGACGACCTGTGATTGCCCTTGCAGCACAGTACGATCACAACATGAAGCTTGGTACAAAGCCTATTGTGCACTTGGAGGCGTTTACTGCCGGCGTCATGCAGCTTTTGAAGCAGACATAGAAGTTCAGCCCCTACATATTTTTTCAGGAAGGCAACAAGCGTCCGACTCTCGAACCTCTGTGTTTAAATTGTGCGCGTTCACCTACGTGGTCTGGCTGAAACAAAACCTTCTCCTGCCTGGCGCACGCACAACTCTATTCTGTTCTTTGCCCACTCACCATAAACGTATCTACTTTTTCTTTTCCTTCTTTACTGTTGTTTTTCAAGCGAGGCGGGCTCTTTAGGCTTGTGCCTGTGCTTACCAAATTACTGTTGTTTGTATTCGTTCGGGCACACTTTGGGGAGGCTCGCGTTAGTAGTAGTATTTGTTGTTGTTGTTATTGTTGTTACCTTTCTTCTTTTCTAGGGCTACTGGGGATGATGCTTCGTCTTTCGCAGCCCTTGCTCATTGCCCATTGGTTCTGTGGGCATAAATTTAGGCACCGCTTCATGCGGGACAAGCGTTTCCATCCGTCGCTTCAGGCCGCCCACGACGCGCGCAACCGGTTCAGTAGGCGAAGGCATTTCAAGACAAATAGGTGGAACTACCAGCAGGCGTACCGCGATATGCCGTGAGGGTGCGGGGACGCACTTGCCCTCATCCGCGAATGGAGGAAGAAGAGCCGTTGGCGGGAGGCGAGATATACAACCAAAAAAAAAAAAATCTGAAGTAGAACGTACGAGTCGGTTTATTATGAAACGACTGTTTTATTTTCATTTTTATTTTTCTGCTTCTACTTTCCCGTCTTTGTGAATTTGTTTGTGCATATATATATATATTTTTGCCATGCTTTCAGCCTGCCTTGTGGAACTCCGCCGCCGCGCAGTGGTGCGGCATGCGTTTAGTTTGGCCTGCTTCTCTCTTTGGTCAGAATGACGTCGCAGGCATTATGCGAGGAAGGCAAGGCCGACCTTCGTGATGAGCTAGACGCCAGCGTCGAGTGTGGCTCCGGCTACATTTGTCTCTGCGGCCCACCGAGCAGTGGGAAGACGACGCTGCTTCTAAATTATCTCACGGCACGCGAGCAGCATGTCCGCAACATGAAGAGATCCTTTCTTCTAGAGTATGTGAGCGGCAAGGCGCTGGACGGTGATCCGTTGCAGCGACTGACATGGCGGCTTCAGCCGCACACGAGACGCAGGCGTACGGAATGCACGATTCGACAGTTTGGATGTTTGGTGCGGCAGTGGATGGACGACGCAGTGGAGGGGAGTGAGCTCCACTTCGTTCTAGACGACGCCGACATGCTGGAGGACGATGCCGTTCATGTCAATCATTGGCTGTCGGAGTGTCTCACGGCGACGCCGGAGGGGCGCAAGCAAAATATTGTTTGTTTGTGGATAGTTTCACAGATGCCGCTTCACATTTCCAACTCGTTTCGCTTCCATTTCCTGTCGAAGCCCGATGCGGCCGTGGTGCAAGGGTGGCTGAACTCCCTCTTTGTGGTAAATCGCGCGTTTCTTTTAGGCGACCCCGCCGTGAACACCCCACACTTTACGTTGGAGCAGGCTCACACAGCTGTAGTGGATGCCGTTGCTTACTACACCACGCACCTCCCAATGCGGGCCAGCATCGTGGCTCAGGATGTGCGTCAGCTGCTGCAACGCGTCTATCACATCTTACCGTTACTCGTGCCACACTACACATGTGGGCATCCAAATGCGATGCACCACTCAGCTGCGTGGGGGAAGCGACGGGAGTTGACGGCAGTGGGATCCAGCGGTGATCCACTAGTGGCGGCGTTGAAGCGAATCGGCTATTCGGCGATACTGTGGGCTGTGAGTGCCTTTTACTGCGGTGCTGTGCCTAAGTCAAAGCAGGCGTATGTGTTTGACGATCAGGAGTTACGGCGTCGTACAAACCCGTCAGGGCCAAATGCCACTTCACACAAGGCGGCTGTTTTGTCTTCATCCGCCCACATCGTGCATGTGCCACACCTCATGTTGGTGTACAGGGCTCTGCTTAAGATTTGTGTTCACCACATAGACCCACTGGAATTTGCTCCGGCGGAGACTGCCGTGCAACATCATCACACGTTAGTCTCGTGGGGCTTGTTGGCGCCTTCTTTACAGAACTCAAAGGCGTATCACTGTCATATTCCTGTCACCTCTGCAGTTGGTCTCTCCCAACTCCTTTCGCTGAATCTGTACGATCTCATTCCAAGATGACGCCGTAATTATAATTTATTTACTTACTCTTATAGTCTTTGTTGTTGTTGCTGTTGTTTGTTTGTTTGTTTGTTTTTCTTTTTATTCGGCAATGAAATTGATGATAGGGACTGTATATGTCGTGTTCTGTTCTCTAAACCCCCTTTTTTTTTCTCTCTCTCTATGAGTGTTTGCCTTAATTCTCAGTCGGCAGTGTGCGTGTGACATGGAGAAGAGGGCAATGGATTACGAAAACGTTCCTTCTTTTGTTTCTTTATTCTTTTGGTTTTTGCCTGAAACATGTTTTTCTCCGACAGAGTCCACATTGCTGAGGCAGTGACAAGAATGTCTGTTAGAAGCATGTTTCTTCCTCAATGGCATGAGCGACGGAAAATGTACTACTGGGTGGGGACTTTTTTGTGCGTGTTAGGTCTACTTGTGTTGACTGTCCTGTTGCTCAGAAATATGCTGCATTCCCAGAAGGCGGTGCCCTCCTTCATTGGCGGCTACTGCGCCATATTCGCCACGATACTCTCCTTCTTCCAAATTCTGGAACACCTGACCTGCTTTTCCGATCCGGAGTGTCAGACAAAAATTGTGCGTATCCTCTTTATGGTACCTCTCTACGCCATGATTTCATGGATATGCATAATTGCCCCCAGCGCCGCTGAGTACCTCAACCTGATTCGTGATGCTTACGAGAGTTATGCCATTTACGCCTTCTTTCAGTTGATGATAGCGCTTATGGGGGGCATGGATACCGTCTACCGCGCTCTCATGCTGGAGGAACGACCCCCTATAAAGCACTTCTTTCCGTTCTGTTGGATGGAGCCAGTGAAGGTCTCACCAACGTTTGTGCGGAATTGTCGTTTATGTCTTTTTCAATTTATGGTGGTGAAGCCGCTTGTAACGGTGGTGGTCATAATTTTAACGGCCAAGAATGAGATGGGCAGCATTTTAGATGTGGGCAAAGGATACTTTTGGACAACATTAGTGTATAACATATCCATAACGGTGGCGTTTACTGCTTTAGTTTACTTTTACACAGGGCTAAAAGAGTTTATGGAGGGGACAGATGCCTTCATGAAGTTTCTATGTGTCAAGGTGGTTATATTCCTCTCATTTTGGCAAGGCATACTCATTCAATTGCTCTCCGCCACACACGTTTTGCCTCAATTTCAGTATTGGTCAGAGGAACGCGTGCCACAGGGCCTGCAAGACCTGTTGGTGTGTATTGAGATGATGTTCGTGGCGTTTGCGCATCGTTACTGCTTCGGAACTGACGCCTACGCCCCGGACGCCGTGGTCGTGGAGGTGGAGCCTGGCCACGACAACGCTGAGGACGCCGGTGGGGTTTTCCCACAGCGGAATATTCCACAAATTCGGTACAGCGTGTTAGAAAATCTCAAGTACACGCTGAGGCATGAGGATATCATGTACGATTTGAAAGCCATCCTGCATAACCGCTAAAGGTACACACCGAAGGAAAGTACTGAAAGAGGGAGTATCGGTGGCTGAAAGAAAATAAAGCTGCGAACGCAGAAACGAACCGAAAGAAGAACAACAACACCGATAGGGGATGGTTGGGGGGAGAACGGGGATTCACCGATGTGTCTGCTGGTGCTATTTGCAGCGGTGGGGCTGCTTCTTTGATGCGTTTGCCATGTTAGATTCACTTTATTTTCTTTGAGTTCCTCACTCTTCCCCTCTTCCCCTCTTCCCCTCCCATCCATGTGCCTACTTTCCGTTGTCTTGCTTATTTCTTGGTTCATGCGGGTGTGTGCTTGTCATCACGAACAAACCCTCTTGGTATCCTTTTCTCTCATTTCCTCATTTGCGCCTCTGCTTACGTGTTTGTTATTGCTATGTCTGTGGCCTCCCTCGATCCTTGACGCCCACACGGTGCAACAAAGATGGGGGAAGAATAGGGTATGCGATGGCACCCAAAAAAAGGATGACAGATGCCCAGGCGGTGGATGAGAAGAGGCTGCAGCTGGAGTCCTTGAAGCGGCAGTGCCAAGCTGTGGAGCAGCTGATGATGCTGGCCAGCGAGGAGAAGCGCTATTTGGAACATGAGAAAACTGTTCTAAAGAGGAAGCAGGCGGAGCTGCAGGAGCAGAGCGATTCCACATTGAAAAAACTGGATGAGCAAGTTTGCGCCATGCAAAATATGTCGATAACGAACGAGGAGCAGCTTCGGCAGCGGATCAAGAGCCTTGAGAATAAAGTGGCGGAGGCTGAGGAGGTCAACGCAGCCCTGCGCTCTAAAGTTGAAGAAACGACACGATGGAAAAAGGGGGAGCTGCAACGACTAAGTGACGGTATTGAGTCTCTCCGAGGGCGGTTGGAGTCCAGGGCGCTGGAGTGTGGGGTACAGTTACGAAATATTCTGCTTGTGCAGTCTGAGCCGTTTGAAGGTCAATGTTGAGAAGAAAGAAGAGAGATGCAAAGTCAAAAAAAAAAAAACTCGTGTATGCTTGTGTCGACTGGCGCCAATGCTGACTCCCGTTAAAGGGGTGTTTCTTTAATGTCGTACTGTTCTCTGGCTCTTCGTGTCTCAGTGAAGCAATAACGTTTTCTGTTTTTGTTTTTCCACTTTCTTTTTGGTATTGACGGTGTTTGCGGATCTGCATCGCGCGCGTGCTCTTGCTCTCTAGCCGTGAGTGTGGTTTACATAAGTACATATAACATTATATATATATATATATATATATATATATATATTGTATTATATTAGCATTTATACCTATACCTGCATCGACTGCGGAAGTGGGGGAAAAGTGCGTGAGTGAGTCACTCTCTGAGAAACACTTGTGGCTGAAGTCAAGTGAAATTATAAGGCAAAAATCAAGGAAATGGAGCGACTGTTTGATGCAGTGGAGCTTAGTAAATATAACGGTGAAAACGGCATGCCCATTTACATTTCCGTCATGGGCGTCGTCTACGACTGTTCCACTGCAACCGAATTTTACGGCACCGGTGCCTCCTACCACGTGTTTGCCGGCAAAGACGTGTCACGCTGTCTTGCGAAGATGTTGATCAGCGATGAGGAGGCGAACGCCAGTTGGAGCAACCTTGCGGAGGAGCACCGTCAGTCTCTTGATGAATGGTCGGCGAAGTATCAGGAGAAGTACCCGGTTGTTGGTCGCTTTCTCTTGGATGATCTCTTCGAGAAGCGAGGGGCGGCGATGGAGCCTTGAGAAGAGCGGTGACCCGACGCCATGTACCCATGCGGCGGCGGGGTGGGGGGAATAGTAGAAGAGCCAGCGGGTGAAGGAATCAAACATGAAGCGAAACAACTATATTCCAAGGCACATGAAAGGGAGCTGACATCGAGAATGTGCGAACCTTCCCTCTGTGGGAGGGTGTATGCGTTCCTTTTTTTTTTTTTTGGTTCATTCTTTTTTCTGCCTTTTTTGTTTTTGCTTCGACCATCGGAAATATTAGGAATTTGCCAACGAAATAACATTCAACTCAGTTATGGTGCACTGCGTACACAACGATCCTTTCTTTGTTTGCCCTTCTGTTCGTCGGTTCAGCAAAAGATAATGCAGAGCAAAAACGCCTCCATCTTGGAGCGCGTTCTTGTAGGGGACGGCAGAAACGAGCGAGCAGGAGAGAAAGTGTGTGTGTGGAAATGAGGAACAGGACAGTCTGTATTTTCCGTGCCTCTTAGTGTACTTATTTTTGTTTTTCTATCTTTTACTCCAGCTGTCCGACCAACAAATGCACGTGTGCGCAGAGGCGGTTCCCAACGGTGCAGGAACTCGGAGGCGACGGTGCCCCACTCGTAAGCATTTTACTATAAAAAAAAAAATAGGCATCCATACAACTTTTATTGCCTTTATCATCATCTAAAAATAAAAAAGCGAGGAAGGTAGCGGGCCGCAGTACTTTCAGGAGCTGGCAGTGAATAAACCACACGAAGAAAAGGGGACTCAGGCTTTGTTGCCTGTATTCTCATTGGTTTCATTTCATTTTTTTTTCTGTGTGTGCGTGTGTTTATGCATGTGTGCTCCACGCCGGCACTCTTATTGCTAGTTCGCATTGTAGCGTGCGGGGGGCTCAGAAAGGGGAAAGTGCAGCATGTTGGAAGTGGCAGACAAGACGGTGGAGTTTTTGCTGCGCCACGACGCCGCGCGCCCACCACCTGGCATTGGCTTACTTACAGTGAACGAATTCGAGCGTGTTCACTGGAGAGATGCATTTGATAGCTTTCAGGAGGCTGGACGTCTGGCGCTCTGGAAGACGAAAAGTGCTCTAGATGACGTCAATGAGAGTGCGTATCTTGCTGCCCGTGATGCTCTTTTCCCGCTGGCTGTGAGCGGCAGCCAAGGCGTTGTTTTGTTTGGAAATCGTGCCGGCCACAAACTGCGCGAAGCGATGGAGGCCACCGGTGTTTGGGAGCACCTGCAACACGAGACAGTTGGGCGGAAGGGTAGTCTTGCCTTTGCCGATGTGTGCGGTGGCCCAGGCGCCTTCTCACAGGCCCTCTTTGGGATGTGCCGGCAGCATAAGCTGAAACTGAGGGGGTTTGGTATGACACTGCGCAGCGTGAAGGGGCTCGACTGGTACTCCAGTCTTCTGTCGGACCGCTTCCTGGCCACATACGGCATTGACGGCACCGGGGATGTCTTTAATTTGGCAAACATTGAGGCACTCCGCTCCTTAACTCTCACAGAAAATATGAAGCTTGTCGTGGCTGATGGTGGCTTCAATGTCCCTTTTGATATTGCGAACTATCAGGAAACTATCTCCGGTAGGATTCTCTTTGGACAATGGTTGACCGCGTTGAAGCTCCTTCGTGTTAATGGTTGCTTTCTGCTGAAGCTATTTGACACGTTTTCCCCGCTTTTACGCGTCATGTTGTACCTTTCCACGTACCTCTACGACCGCGTTCATGTGGTAAAGCCTCGCCACAGTCGTGTCCTGAATAGCGAGAGGTATTTGGTGTGTCTCGGCTTTCGCGGTGCCCCAGAGCCATGGATGAAACATTTTGAGCGCTGCTATCAGGCCGGTTTTACTGACAACGACCATATTCCAACTATAATGCCCATTTCGTGGGTGATGGAAGATGAGACATTTTTAAGTGACATGACAGAGATGAGCTCCACGATTGCGTCGAACCAGGTGGTGGCTCTGAAGATGGTGTTGGCAAAATTGCAGCTTTCTATCTCGGCGAAACAGACGGAGGAGCAGCCAGCTTCTTGACTGGAGTGCGGGTGCGGGTGCGGGTGCGGGTGCGGGTGCCAATGAGACCGCCGGAACAGGTGTTGGTTCAGGCGTTATGACTTCACCTTTCTATTTATCGGTGTGCCTGTGTGTGTTTAATGAGAAGTTTGTATACGTCTTTGTTTGTTTGCTGTTTCATCTAAGCTTCTGTTCTTTCCTTTTCTTTTTCATTTTTCTTTTGTTGGTTTTGCGTGTGTATTATCTCTTGTGTCACGACAAAAAAAAAAAAAAAAGTTGAGTTAGTGTCAATTATTTACTGTTTTCATCTCGATCTTGCCGATGTCAAAGCTTTCGCTTCTGCACCATGTTACACTTCCTCGACGCCAGTTGTTGCTTGTGGTGATGGACGGCGTGGGTATTGGCCCCAGCGACGAGTACGACGCGGTCCACTTGGCGAAGACACCTTTTATGACTCGCACCGCGCCGACGCAAAACNCTTTCGTTCCGTCTGCGCCCATGGCACTTCCGTGGGACTCCCTACTGACGCAGATA